CGATCAAGCAGCATTTATCAAGTATTAGGAAGACGATCATAGACGGGATGGTAAAGTCTCAAAATAGCAGTTGGGTATAAAGAAATTGTCGAGTGGTAGATTTTAAATGAGAAAGAGCTATAATTGTTGTAGGATAAATGAAGAAAAAGAAGGAATAATCAATAACTTCTCATATCACTCCACTCACTCACGCTGCCTTGGAATAGCGACAGCGGACGTTCATCAATGGGGGAGACCAAGTTCAAAAGAGAACCCAGCACTGCAACCACCGACATCCCGAGTCAATGAATGAAGTCCAATACGATCATCAAAGTTATTGAGATTGTCTACGAGGAAAATCAAGTAGAAAAGAAGGTACTATAGAAATGATCCTGTGTAAGTACGGTCTTGGTTTGCTCTTTCCAAAGCTGTACGATTGGTACCCACCACATGGGCAGCAGCACATAGCTTCTGCACGCGTAATTAGTTAATCAGCTTCAACACCGCTGGCATGGCATAACACCGACGTTGCTGGGCTTAAATCAGTCGAGTCCAGACCACCTGCAAAAATACATAATTTACAAACGATGAGCTTATTTCGAATCGTATTTACTACCTGATATTGGAATTTCTTTTTTAAATTCTTTAATTGAAAAGTACGTAGAATGTCGTATCATTCGTTATTGAAATAAATATCTTTACAAGTCGAAGTACTATTATATGATCCAAGCGCTACATCTGAGATGTCACCTACTTTTAAGGGTCGCCTGACGGTGTCTTCTTTCCATTGGTCATGAGTACTCGGCGTGATGGAGAATTCAATCGGTGTTTACGACTTGAAGGCTGGATTCTTTCAATATGAGTATTGTATCCGATGGTGATCGGAAGTAGTGATAGCAGGTTGGAGCAATTTAACGAGCGAAAATCGCTGATGGCAATCACTTTGTATGCAAGGATGGCATACCGGATAATAGCTCTTGTACTGTTGGGGGGGCTCCTTAATTCACCATCATAGTCTTCGAATATCGACGAAGGTTGCAAATACGTCGAATTTAAATCCAGATAATTTTCTAAAATAGGCGGATGATGCTGATTTCCAACTCACGCGCCAAAATTCTAATTTTGCGAGCATTAGCTCCTTCGATTGCTGCAGTGTCGACCAAAGCTCGTAAATGGCAAAGTTCTGCTAAATCGATGAAACTTGTAAAAACGGACGACTCGCCTTCGTGGGCTCGCACATAGCAATACATGCACACTGGCACTGCAAGATTTGCAGTGCGTGCGTACCCTTTGTGGCGTTCTAAATTAGATTAGAACTGCAAGTATGCCCTCGCTCTTACGGGTATTATTATTAATGCTATCAACAAATAAAGGTTCAGGCAAAGTGTTTCTTAATGAAATGGTAACCTTTTACTACGAGAATGTGCCGACTAAAGTATTCGCTTAGCCTTGATTTAATCACTATTATTCACAGTGCTAAGGCGCGCGTTAATGTGCAGCCTACTTGCATTTTAACCAATTAATTACTGCACGAATTGATGAGAAATTCCAGTCTGGTGCTCCGATTTATAAATTGCGGTATGATTGAAGTCGTTACCTACTAAAAAGGTCTTTGGGAACGAATGTCGTGCTGTGATTCATACTAACGCTAGCTGCTTAGTGATACGCGGCAAAAAGTAAATCGAGATGATTATAATATTTCTGCCTGCTGGTCGAGAAGCTAAGATGCTTTTCTAAAACCGCCTCTCAGTTTGTTTCTAAAGCGCTCTTGCCCAAGCAGGGAGCGCCAATACCTCGGTCATCGGCACCAGCAGGATTCTACCAGCGGTCGATCAAGCAGCATTTATCAAGTATTAGGAAGACGATCATAGACGGGATGGTAAAGTCTCAAAATAGCAGTTGGGTATAAAGAAATTGTCGAGTGGTAGATTTTAAATGAGAAAGAGCTATAATTGTTGTAGGATAAATGAAGAAAAAGAAGGAATAATCAATAACTTCTCATATCACTCCACTCACTCACGCTGCCTTGGAATAGCGACAGCGGACGTTCATCAATGGGGGAGACCAAGTTCAAAAGAGAACCCAGCACTGCAACCACCGACATCCCGAGTCAATGAATGAAGTCCAATACGATCATCAAAGTTATTGAGATTGTCTACGAGGAAAATCAAGTAGAAAAGAAGGTACTATAGAAATGATCCTGTGTAAGTACGGTCTTGGTTTGCTCTTCCCAAAGCTGGAGCAGCATATACGATTGGTACTCACCACATGGGCAACAGCACATAGCTTCTGCACGCGTAATTGGTTAATCAGCTTCAACACCGCTGGCATGGCATAACACCGACGTTGCTGGGTTTATTCGAATCCAAAATCAGTCGAGTCCAGACCACCTGCAAAAATACATACCTTACAAACGATGAGCTTATTTCGAATCGTATTTACTACCTGATATTGGAATTTCTTTTTTAAATTCTTTAATTGAAAAGTACGTAGAATGTCGTATCATTCGTTATTGAAATAAATATCTTTACAAGTCGAAGTACTATTATATGATCCAAGCGCTACATCTGAGATGTCACCTACTTTTAAGGGTCGCCTGACGGTGTCTTCTTTCCATTGGTCATGAGTACTCGGCGTGATGGAGAATTCAATCGGTGTTTACGACTTGAAGGTTGGATTCTTTCAATATGAGTATTGTATCCGATGGTGATCGGAAGTAGTGATAGCAGGTTGGAGCAATTTAACGAGCGAAAATCGCTGATGGCAATCACTTTGTATGCAAGGATGGCATACCGGATAATAGCTCTTGTACTGTTGGGGGGGCTCCTTAATTCACCATCATAGTCTTCGAATATCGACGAAGGTTGCAAATACGTCGAATTCAAATCCAGATAATTCCTTAAATAGGCGGATGATGCTGATTTCCAACTCACGCGCCAAAATTCTAATTTTGCGAGCATTAGCTCCTTCGATTGCTGCAGTGTCGACCAAAGCTCGTAAATGGCAAAGTTCTGCTAAATCGATGAAACTTGTAAAAACGGACGACTCGCCTTCGTGAGCTCGCACATAGCAATACATGCACACTGGCACTGCAAGATTTGCAGTGCGTGCGTACCCTTTGTGGCGTTCTAAATTAGATTAGAACTGCAAGTATGCCATCGCTCTTACGGGTATTATTATTAATGCTATCAACAAATAAAGGTTCAGGCAAAGTGTTTCTTAATGAAATGGTAACCTTTTACTACGAGAATGTGCCGACTAAAGTATTCGCTTAGCCTTGATTTAATCACTATTATTCACAGTGCTAAGGCGCGCGTTAATGTGCAGCCTGCTTGCATTTTAACCAATTAATTACTGCACGAATTGATAAGAAATTCCTGTCTGGTGCTCCGATTTATAAATTGCGGTATGATTGAAGTCGTTACCTACTAAAAAGGTCTTTGGGAACGAATGTCGTGCTGTGATTCATACTAACGTTAGCTGTTTAGTGATACGCGGCAAAAAGTAAATCGAGATGATTATAATATTTCTGCCTGCTGGTCGAGAAGCTAAGATGCTTTTCTAAAACCGCCTCTCAGTTCGTTTCTAAAGCGCTCTTGCCCAAGCAGGGAGCGCCAATACCTCGGTCATCGGCACCAGCAGGATTCTACCAGCGGTCGATCAAGCAGCATTTATCAAGTATTAGGAAGACGATCATAGACGGGATGGTAAAGTCTCAAAATAGCAGTTGGGTATAAAGAAATTGTCGAGTGGTAGATTTTAAATGAGAAAGAGCTATAATTGTTGTAGGATAAATGAAGAAAAAGAAGGAATAATCAATAACTTCTCATATCACTCCACTCACTCACGCTGCCTTGGAATAGCGACAGCGGACGTTCATCAATGGGGGAGTCCAAGTTCAAAAGAGAACCCAGCACTGCAACCACCGACATCCCGAGTCAATGAATGAAGTCCAATACGATCATCAAAGTTATTGAGATTGTCTACGAGGAAAGTCAAGTAGAAAAGAAGGTACTATAGAAATGATCCTGTGTAAGTACGGTCTTGGTTTGCTCTTCCCAAAGCTGGAGCAGCATATACGATTGGTACCCACCACATGGGCAGCAGCACATAGCTTCTGCACGCGTAATTGGTTAATCAGCTTCAACACCGCTGGCATGGCATAACACCGACGTTGCTGGGCTTATTCGAAACAAAATCAAGCGAACGTGGTGTTTTGTACCAGGTACTTGCATGTGTAAATCATATTCGGTTGATGAAAATGTGTTTTAAAATTGTCAACAATACAACCGTGGCCCCCTAAAGCACTTGCCGTAGTGGACAGACTTTAATTAGAACGCGGCAAAACAGTGAAATGGTAGGTAAATTCTGATCTTGTGGCAATCTTTGGCTGTTGGTCGAGTATCTTAGTGGTGTAACAGTTGGGTGTAATTTCCGGCTGCCTTCGTATGCAACGATGTCTCCGCGGATGAAACTCATGCAGTGCTGACGAGCTCACGTCATAATGCCCTCGTATTCGCGCGTGCAAATATGTCTAATTTTCAAGAAGGTAGCGATGCATTTCTCATTCTATCTTACGCGCCAGAAGTCTTTCCAGTATTGTGCAAATATTAGTTGCTGCAGAGCTGAGCGAGCATTCAGGATTCCTAGCACAACTCTAAAGTCAGCTACATCCCTGACGCCTTGCGCACGACGAAATACAGTACTTCCAGTCACTTGAAATGCGTTAGCTTGTGATTTTAGGATAATGGATTACACAGTACTTTTAAACACAGAATTAGGGCGTTTCGTGTAGCTTTTGTTTAATGCAATTTGCAATGGTCTGAGCTCTCTTAACTTTCCGGTAACAGCTTTCATCTCTACACTTGCTCCAGCCCACGCCGCTTTTCTCTGATTGACCTTATCTCCGCACTTTATCTGAGCTCCTGGCCAGATAGTTCCTCTTTATATGCGAGCTTGGCCTTTATTCATTTCATAGTTAGAAGCTAACGTTAGTGAAGACCCGTCTCCATGGGATTCGCATGAAGCAATACATGCGCACAGTGCACTCGTTTAACGCCAGTGTATCCTTCGTGACCTTATGGCTTCATACAGCATACAAAACGCATATTTTATCTAAAAGTTGCTTATCAATTCATCGCTTAGAAATAGCACAACACAATACTTCATAGTATTTATTTCACGGGAAAAAACAATATAGCCATTTCAGTCTTACCACAATTTCCGTCAGTACTGCTTCGTAAGGATATTAGGTTTAGCAATTACAATTTTGGTGGGTTTCCCAGGAAATAGAAACCATTTTCTTGTTTCTAACTGCGGAATCTGTGGCCATAAAAGCGCAGACATCAATTCAACAGCTAAACCGGCGTCTGGCCAACTGGTCCTCACTCCCGACGCCTTCGCTGCCCATGTCTCCAGCGGCTGCGGCCCCTCTCCCGGGCGTCATGACGTGCAGCTCGTTGCGCTCTACAGGCTCGTCCGTCTCCGTGACGCGTCCGACCGCCACGTCCGCCGTGGCAGCGGCGTCTCCTGCCGTGCGCGCGCTGTGCTCGGGTGCCGTGGCAGGCGTCGTGGCCGACTCGATGCTGCACCCGCTGGAGGTGATCAACTTGCGCATGAAGATCCAGCAACAGCCTAGTGCTAAGTACAGCGGGATCTTGCGCTCCGTTCGCACGATCCTTAAAGAGGAGGGCGTGCGCGGCTACTTCGGCGGTCTCAGCACCACGTTATTGGCTTCTCCCGTGTGTGCCGCAATGTATTTCGGCACGTACGAGACGCTCAAGGCGACAGCTGCCCCACTTGTTCCCGAAGAGCACCGTGGCGTGGTTTATTTCCTGGCTGGAGCGGCTAGTGAGGCCATCATCTCGGCGGTCAGTGTGCCATCCGAGGTCATTAAGTCGCGACTGCAACTCGGACGCAATCCCCGCAATGCCAGTGGAGGAGTCGTCAAGTACACACAGAACTATAGAGGCACAGCACACGCAGCCAAGTCGATATTGCGATCCGAAGGAGTACGAGGGCTGTACGCTGGATACTCGGCATGTCTGAGCGTCGACACGTTCTTCTCTGCGTTCTCGTTTCTATTCTACGAGACGCTTAAGCACCGATACCAACAGCATTTAGCGGCGAATGACTCGGACCGACAACTGAACTCCGTCGAGTCGTTGGCTGTGGGCTCCATTGCCGGCGGAATGTCGGCGTTTCTAACTAACCCGCTGGACGTCATAACAGTGCGACTCATGACACAAGGCAAAAATAAGAAATACCTCGGACTACGCGACTGTTTGGTCCAATCAGTTAGAAACGAAGGTCCCGGAGTACTTTGGCGTGGCGCGTCGTGCCGTATAGTGTCAATCATGCCTACGACGGGCATCTGCTTCGGAGTTTACGAGAGCATCAAGCACAGCTTCTTCGACGGCGACTTGGAGGACTTTGACCTCGAATAAGTGTCTTAACGGAGGAGTATATAATAGAGCGAATGAGTACACAACCTCAAATAAACACATTTGAGTTGAAATGGTCCTGGACTAATTAGTTTGAGGAGAATGAGTGAATGCTACAGCTGCACTTCCTTAACTCTACGCCGTGCGCTTGAAGTGGTCCTCGTCAATAGTCGAGTACACGTGTCCCTCACTAGTGAGATAATTGAGTGCACTTCGCAGTTGCTGCTCATTCATTTGTCCGTTCAAGTCGGCGTATATCTGGTCGATCTTGATGCCGCGGTCGCTGGTGCACGTGCCCAGGACGTCCAGAATGGCCTTTTGCTCGGGAGAGAAGTTGGAATCCATCATACCGTAGTCCACACCTCCTCCGAAACCTCCCGTGGCGCCAGCATTCGGCTGGTTCCACTGGTTCGCTCCCTTTGTAGGCGTGTTAAACGACGTCATCGTGACGTCCGCCTTGCCGTCGTTGAGCGGGCCCTTTGTATTGTAGCAGTGAGCGTAGATCACCTCCAGAAGATGATGCGTCAGCTCGTTCATGTCTTGTACGGGCACTACATTGAAGCAGGAGAGACTGGCCTTGCCCTGGAAGGAGCGCAGCTTGCCTACCACACGCACGTAGCTGCCCTCTCGCAGGTCGCCTTCACTGGCGTCTTCGTCGGCGTTGACAAAGTATTGGCAGTCGAAGGCTCCAGAGCCGTCGTCTAGTTGGAAGCGCAGGCTCGTAGATTGCGGCGTGAGGTTGGTGAGCAGCCCCACGAGCCGCACCGTGGACACTTCTTGGCCGTCCAGACGCACCGCGTCATCGTCTCCTGCGTTTAGCGATTGCAGCTGCTTGATAGTCACTGGGAGGATGCTCTGAGCGCCACCGCTACGCTTAGTGGGAGTCGATTGACTGCCTGAGGGCTGGCTGGACATGAAGCCGCCCCCACCAGAGTAGTCGTCGTTGCCAAACGCCTCGTAGCCGCCGCCGTAGTTCATGATTGCAAATTGACTGGGACTAAAAATGGCGCCAAATTAAGATGGACGGACCTTTAGGTTTTAATAAATTATTACTTATAATCATTTAAAGAAGAGAGTGATTTATTTGCCCGAATATAAATCTGCCAAATCTGAGTCGAGTCGACCCTAAACCTCCTCAGATAAATATTCCTTTCCGGACAAAGTATACCGTATATTAATAGTAAAGGGGGGCGACCACACATTTTTCCCGCCTCGGGGTCTGAGTACTGCTGGACGATCGCCACGAATCTGCGCGTGCTGCCGAGCGTGGGTCAGCCACAGGGCAAGAATCGATCGGCGCAAACGTTGTAGATGGAGCTAAGGGCGCGGACGTCTCAAAAACGTCGTGGATCAGGGTCACGAAGCGATGATGACGCATCCAACGTCCCGGTCGAGTCCAGCGAAGAGGAATTGGTCGACAAATCGCTCCCGATGGAATCTGGCGACAACAGCAGCCGCTCCAGCGACTGGACCAACACCGACGACTCTGAGTCTATCAATGTAACGCTGGCTGTGCCCGACAAGCACCACTTCACATCGTGGGACGCTTTCCACTCGTATTTAGACCGGTATTTTGCCGCATCTTACCAGGTAAAGTGGATTTACACTGCAATAGGCTTCTTTGCTGATCCCATTGTGTGCTATGAAGGTCTTCCGTGTTCGTACAAACACGACCGTTGAGCGTCGTAACACAGACATCCGAAACAAGAACTTTAAAGCACCTGAAATCCCGTCCGAATGGAAATACTACGCGAAGACGTTAGTCTGTACTTGCTTCGGCAAGTACAAGTCGAAGGGAAACAGCAAGCGCCCACGTCAAGAGACCCGGTTATCGGACTGCAAAGCCCAGGTAAGATACGGCTTCAAGTTTTACTTCTGCTCGGGTTCGTTCGGGTTTGTTCGGGCATTGCGGGTACTATTGTCTCAATTATCGGTACTAACGTTAATAAATCTGGCATAGATCAACGCCTGCGTTCGACTAGTTGACAAAGCCAAGCACGCGTTTGCAGTTGGTATCACAAAGTGTAACCCCGTACACAATCATGTCGTCAACCGCCAAACCTTCTATCGCTTTTCCTCGATCCACAAGGTGCTAGATGATGGCGTCGTTGAGTCGGTGGATATGCTCCGCAAGGCGGGTGCAAAACACAAGAATATTATGAAGTTCATCATCGAGAACACGGACGCCAACCCGTCTATTCAGGACGTGCGTAACATGGTTCGAAGCCTCAAGCAGAGCGAAAACGTGCGTGGTTCGCGTAACAGTGCCAAACGGTTGAAAACATGGATGCAAGAATTCTGTGAAGCACCAGGAAATATTGGACGTATATTTGTCGAGACCATGCAGACCAAGGTATAGTATTCGTTCAATTTGACTATCGATACCTTAGCTAACGTGCAGTGTTGAATGTAATTATCGGGAGGCAAACTTGATAGCTAGCTCTATCAGTGACACAATGGCCGGATTCGGGATGAAGGACTACCAGCTTGCAATGAAGTTTCTCCAATCGGTGTCTCGTATCATAAAGCACAAGGAGTTTGAGAGGCTTATTCAAACCGAAACGGAACGACCTACCATCCTGGTTTCAAAGACCACAGGTGCGGGTGACGATGTGGATGATTGTGGCGACTGTGAGTTTGGTCAAGCTGATATTGAGCATACC